GAGCAGCCCCTGGGCCCCGGCCCCGCTGTCTCCTTGCTCCCGGTTCAATGCTCTCAGGGTAGCGGCGCCGGTGTCCCTCCAAGTGTCTGGCGGTAGCAGGGAGGCTGAAGAGGGGGCGGTAGCCCCGGGCTGCGGTCGGCGCCCGCGATACCCTGGGCTGGCGGCGGGCAGGTTCCGCGGGACAGTGCGCTCTCCTCCCTCCCTCCCTCCTTCCCTCCCTCCTCCCCATCTCTCTCGCCCTGGCACTCTTGTTTGGCTTTTTCACTCGAGGCCACTTGAGCCACACCTCCACCTCCAGCTTTTTGCTGGTTAATCGGAGATCAGGGTCTCTCGGATTTGTCTGCGCCCTGCTGACTTCAAACTTGGATCGTCAGCTCTCACCAGCCTCCTGAGTTAGGCGTGGATTACAGGCGTGAGCCGCCAGTGCCTGGCCGGTGCCGCTCTCCTTAACTCACTGTGGAGACGCTGGGAAAAGGAGACCGGGAGTGGCTGGGTGGAGAGCTGGGGATCTGTCCCGCTAGGGGTTGGTGAGACTCCTTTGGCTGGGGGGAGGGAGACCCTTTTCCCCCCAGCACCCCACTTGGCGGGAGCCACCTCTCTGACTTGCATTTGGGCAGCAGAACTCCATTTGGGCAGCAAATAGTTCAAGTTTCTTCTCTTGGTGTCCCCAGGTCCGGTGGGGCCCGGCTCCCCGTTTTGAGGGCCCTGCTGGCCAGACTTCACTCAGCAGTACACCGCTGGTCACTTTTCCTGGGTTGCCTCTCACATGACAAGTGTTTATTATCTCATTTAATCAAAGTAATGATGACAAGAACATATTTATAGATCCAGATACTTCACAAAACATTGACTCAGTCAATTGGGCCGGTGCTGTCAATCATTCCTCCCAGATTATTTTGTAGATGAGGAAACTGAGGCTCAGGCCTGCGATTGGACTTGCTGGAAATTGCTTAGTTTGCAAGCTGGTGTGTTGAGCCGAGATTTGAATCCAAGAAACCAGGCTCTAGGCTGCTCAGAACCACTGTGTTGCTTTTGTTTTGAAACTCTGACACCCAGACTTACTTGATTTGCCAAGCTCCCAAGGGATACTGGCTGGAGCTGGCATTTGGGCTGCCATGGGCCAAAGTCTGAGGAGTAAGGCCCTCCTGGCCAGACCTGTGGCAGAACTTTCCAGACATCCTGGGAAATACTCCTGTCTAGATAGTCACTATCCTGGCTAGGAGTGGAACAACTGAGATTGGCTAGACCCAGGGTCTGGCCAGAGCTTGTGGCCAGCATACAGAATCCCCACCACTGGGTATACCGGCATGGGTCCTTCTGTCCATACTTCCTCTGGCCACAGGGATACAGCAAGGGTTCAAGTGGTATGACTCTGACTACTGTCAAGGTAAAGAGCAACCTCTTATTCCGGAAGCCCTTGGCAGTCCTGACAGCTAGCATTTGAGGTCATTGTGCTTGTGTGTGTAACCTTTTATTTATTGTTGTTGGCCTAGGGTCATTTGGATATTGATAGCACCATTTGCAGGCCATACAACAAGATCAATACAGGAAAATGACCATAAGCCTTCAGCCAGAATCGTGTCAGTCTTGCCATGTAACAAATTATTTTGAGAGCTTCATAGGGCCCACAGGCTAGATGTCTCCACATCTACCCTGCAGACCTGCTTAAGGTCCAGGCTTTTCTACCTGTCTTCCACCTGTCTTTCTTGGTGGGAGTAAGATCTTCCTGCTCACTTGATCCCACATTGCATTTTATTGTTATTATTATTATTATTGTACTAGGGTTTGAACTCAGGGCCTGGATACTGTCCTTTTAGCTTTTTTTCCTTTTTTCTTTTCATTCTTTTTTTTTTTTTTACTTGAAGCTGGAGCTCTACCACTTGAGTCACAGCTCCATTTCCATCCTTGTGGTGGTTGACTGAAGATAAGACTTCCCTGTCCTTTGCTGGTTGAGCCATGATCCTCAGATCTCAGAGTCCCTAAGTGGCTGGGATTACAGGCATGGGTTACTAGCATCCAGCTCCACCTTTTATTTTAAAGTAAAGAAAACTGACAGGTCAAGTATTTGCTAAAAGTCAAGCTACAATGCGGAGGGGTGAGAAGAGTTGTCTTTGAAGCCAGATCACCTAATTTCCATTCAAATACTAGTTCTACCATGTTCAGTGTGAGCTTGAACATATTGCTTAGCCTCTCTGTGCCTCAGTTCTCTTGTCTGTAAATGGAAAATCAGCAGAAAATGAAGATAAACTGGAGAGTTTATCTAAAGAGCTTAGGACCATGCTTGACCTAGAGGCCATGGGTGATCTTCTGTCAGGCCATGTTTGTCCTGCATAAGAGCTAAGTTGAGTCATGGCTTAATATGAGTCACCCTTGGGCAGCTCTGGTGGCCTCTCTTCACAGAGCCTCCTGGGACTATGGGTTTTATTTTATTTTTTGTGTCAGTCCTGGGTTTGTACTCAGGGGTTCATGCTCTCCCTTTATCTTTTTTTGCTCAAGGCTGGTGTCCTCCCACTTAAGGTAGAAGTGTGGCTCCAGTGCAAGAGCCTTGAGGAGCAAAGCCAAGCAGGACACAAGACCCTGAGTTCAAGTTCTAGTATCAGCACAAACAACAAAACACACATTTTAAAGATGTTACTCATGGGACCTTTGTGTTCAACATGAAAGGCACCACCCATATTGCAGATGGAGAAGCTAAGGATTCTCTCTGAGAATGCATTCCTGTTCGATGCAAGTTCTAGCCCAGCTCTGGTAGACAACAGCCTCAACCTTTCCACCTCCACCCACAATTTCAATGGCCTGTTACTTTTCTCCAGAGAATGAGGAAGGCCTAGGGGCATGCACATACATTTCATGCTTAGCCCAGTTCCCTCCTGAGACCCATATTCAGGCAGAGGTGGGTACTTGGGCCACAGTGGGTTGAAATTTACCAACAGACACAGATTTTTTTCTATTTGTAGTCTGCATGGGTTTTCTACTGCCTCGGGGCCTTTGCACAGATGGGACCCTCTTCCAGGAAAGTCATTCCTGGCTGCTACTATTTATTTTATTACTTCTGATGTAAACTTTCTAGATCACTACTTTGACCTCAAAGTCTAGATCAGGCTTGTTCTGTGACCTTCCCAAACCCTGGGCCATAGTTAAATTTTCCGATGACTTGTCCTGATTCACATCTGGCTTTGTGAGGTTTAACTGGACGTTAATGCCTGGACTAACTTTGAACCTGTGATTCTCAGATCTCAGCCTCCTCAGTAGCTAGGATTACAGGGTGAGACACTGGCATCTTGCAATAATGATTTTTTTTTTGTTTTGTTTCTTTTTGCGGGGGCTAGTAGTGGAGGTTGAACTTAGGGCCTGGGCACTGTCACTTGGCTTTGTCCCTGAAGGCTGATGCTCTACCACTTGAGCCATAGCTCTACTTTTGGCTTTTTGCTGGTTAATAGGAAATAGGAAGTCCATGGACTTTTCTGCCTGAGCTGTCTTCAAATAGCTCAGGATCTTCAGATCTCAGACTCCTGAGTAGCCAGGATTATAGGCATGAGCCACTGGCACCGAGCAATAGCTATGATTTTTATTGTTGTGGTGGTGAAGATTTTTATTTGTTTTGTTTTTGTTTTGGTGTAGTACTGGAGCTTGAATTTAGGGTCTAGGTACTATCTGTTAGCTTTTTCACTCAGGGCTGACACTCTACCACTTGAGCCACACTTCCACTTCCAGCTTTTTGCTGGTTAATCCAGAGATAAGAGTCTCAGGGAATTTTCTGCCCAGGCTGGCTTCGAACCTTCATCCTTCAGATCCCAGCCTCCTGATCACTAGGATTCAAGGCTGGCTTTAAGCCTGGATCGCTTTTTGAGGATGGTGATACGATGCAATGGAATGTCTGATTCAGTGCCTGCAATCTGTCTTTTTTCTTCTACAAGGGCTTGGATACTGTCTTCACAGCATGTGTGGCCCATGGTGTGGCTGGAGGAGCTGGGGCTCTGCGTGGGGAGGAGTGATATGTGTGTATGCTGGTGGTTGGGCTCCTCTTCCTCAATTCCTTGGGGCTGCGTAACTCTAGCAATTTTAGGCAAGGTGAGGGCCGTTATGAGGGGGAGTGAGTTTAGCTGGCGGAGGAATGGTGAGCGTCAACTCTCCGGTGCTGGCTCAGCCTGCCCCCTTAGCCTACGGGGCAGGGCATGGCTGCTCTGTCATTTAGACTGTCCTGGCAGAGGTATGAGGGAAGGCCTGAACACCCTGGTCACGGAACTCTCCTGGTTTGGCCTCTGGATGCAGCTGTGCCTGATCCCCACCTTTCTGCCTTCCTTTGTTTTCTCCATAGAGTCTCTAAGTCCTGATGACCACTGTCTCTGTTAGTAAACATCCTACTGTGTGCTCCTTTGTTGGGCTGTCTCTACAGCTATATGCTATACTTGTGTGTCTCTTGGCTGGGCCAGATACGCGCACACACACACACACACACACACACACACACACACACACTGTGTCTCTCTTGGCTGGGCCAGATACACACACACACACACACACACACACACACACACACACACACTGTGTCTCTCTTGGCTGGGCCAGATACACACACACACACACACACACACACACACACACACACACACACCAAGCTTCCACCTCTGCCAGGTAGAAAACTACCTGTGGTGCCAAAGGCCATACCTGACTGCAGTGGGGACCCTACAACTCTAAGTATATGATGTCAGCAAAGCTTTCAGACTGGTGAGGACTCAGTCACCTCAGTTCACCATCTACCCTATTTTGAAGGTGGGTGTGACTATCAGCTGGCAGAAGGCAGGGGGCTGTGTCTGTTTTCTTAGGCTGGTATTAAAACATATGCCCCAGCTAGACACCCATGTCTCAGGCCTGTAATCCTAGCTACTCAGGAGGCTAAGTTCTGAGGATCACCATTCAAAGCCAATCTGTGCAGAAAAGTCCATGAGATTCTTATGTATAATTAGCCAGTGAAAAGCCAGTAGTGGAGCTGTGGCTCAAGTGGTAGATAGCCAGCTTTGATCAAAAATAGCTAAGCAAAAATACAGGTCCCAAGTTCAAGCCCCAGTACTTGCACACAACACACACACAACCACCCAAACAACAACAACAACAACACAAAGGCATGTTGGGAAAGAAACCAAAAAACTTCACATATTGGGGACCTAAACCACCAGTCTGGATGGTAGAAGTTTAAGGTCAAGGTGCCAGGGTGGTTTCTCCTGAGCCTTCCCTCCTTGGCTGGCAGATCCTTTCCTCCCCTCCTCCCTGCATAGTCTTCTCTTCTGTGTGTCAGGACCCTCAGCTCCTCTTCCTCTTTGGAAACCAATCATGTTAGAGGGGATCCACCCTGATGGCCTCATTTTAAGTAATGACCCCTATAAAGACCCCCAGCATGGTCCTATCCTTAGATATCAGAGATGAGGATATGAGTCACAGCTCAGCCCAAAACAAAGATCTTTGCACGTTGGTGGAAGAAACAGATGCGGGGCCATTTGGAGACCCACAAAGGTCAAAATAATGGCAGAGAGGTGAGCTGCCAAAGGGAAAAGCAGCTCATTGCCTAGGGGAGCTAACTCAGCCCAAGCCTTTTCCTGGGAACTGCTGATGGAGCCTGGGCTGCAGGAATGGAAGGGTTACTAGTTTGTTTCCAGGATGGAATCTGGCCTCTCATGAGGACCGGAGCACTTGGCACATTCTCCTGGTTTCAGTCACTATAAATAATCCCTTCATTGCTGCGTTAACCAGAGGGGAGTCTGGAGTGGGGTCGGGGCTGTGTTGTCATCTCACCCATATTGTCTCCATTTCCTGCCTTCCCAGCTTGCCTGGGCTCCTGCTGTGGGGAGCCACGGGGTTGGGGTAGGCTTGGCTTTGGAGTCTGGAAGGCAGCTGCTGTGTCTCTCTGCTCTCTCCTCCAGTGCTTGCTGGGGTGGGGTGGGGTCAGCCTGGGGTCCCAGCTGCTGCCCTGCACATAGGGAGCTTCTGTCATGAGAAGAGAAAAGTACACATCAGCTAGGCTTCAGCAGTCAGCTGTTTAGCAGGGCCTAGGGCAAGAGGCCCACCAAGGTGGGAGAGAGGCAGGGATGGGACTGGACAGTCCCTCTTTGTCCATTTCTCCCTCCCTCCCTCCCTCTCCTTCCCTTCCTCCCTCTCTCCCTCCCTCCCTCTCTTCCTTCCTTCCTTCCTCTCCTCTTCCTTTTCCTCCCCTTCCTTTCCCTTCCATTCCTTTCCTCTCTCTCTCTCTCTCTCCCTCTCTCTTTCTCTTTCTGTCTCTCTCTTTCTTTTTTCTTTTATTTCTTGCCTGTTGTAGGGCTTGAACTCAAGGCTTGGGCACTGTCCCAGACCCTGAGTTTATTTTACTACTTTACTACTTGAGCTACAGTTCTACTTCCAGCTATTTTATTTATTTATTTTTACTACTTTATTGGAGATAAGAGTTAGTGGATTTTTCTATCCCAGCTGGCTTCTGACTCTGATCCTCAGATCTCTGCCTCCTGAGCAGCTAGGATTATAGGTGTGAGCCACTGGTGCCTGGCTGTCAACACTAGGACGGCCACTAAAGGAGCTGGGCATCAGCCTGCAGTGTGCTTCAGGATACCTGTGACTTTTTCTGTATCACTTGTATGAAGTGTCTTTTGTCATATGAAGTAGAAGTCACCACTTCCCAGGACTCAGACAGGATTGTTCTTCCAAACTTCCCACACAGGTATCTCCTGGGCTGACAGGGAGGAACGCAGGCCTAATGGGTCCTGTTGAGCTTCTTTAGCCTTTTCTCCCGAGTTTATCCCCACTCTCGCTATAAGGTAACCAAAGGCTAAGTCGAAGTCATGTGTGGGGGTGTTAAATAATGACCCCCAAAGCCATCCTGGCCTAAGCCCTTGTGAGCATTATCTTTAGTGGAAGAAGGTACTTTATGGATGTGATTAAGTTAAGGTTCTTGGATTATTGTAGAATATGGACTGGCATTTGGCTTCTAAGAGACGAGAAAGAAAATTGACCCCCAAATCATAACTTTCTAGTTATTTAGTATATTTGTTTGTTTTGACAATACTGGGTTTTGAACTCATGGCCTGGCAGTTGCTAAGCAGATGTTCTATGAGCTGAGCCCTGTGTTTCATTGGTTATTTTTTAGATAGTATGTCTAGTTTCCTGCCCGGGAGTGCACCTGACCTATACACAATCTTGTCCCCTTTAGGCTTTCTACTCAAGAGGCTGAGATCTGAGGGTCAGCAGTTCAATGCCAGCCTGGGCAGAAAGTCTCTGAGACTCTTATGTCCAAATAATCACCAAAAAACCTGCAACTAGAGTTATTGCTCAAGTGGTAGAGTGCTAACCTTGAACAAAAAAAGCACATTTGGGGACATCTTTTGTTCCTGGGACTCATTCATTCTTTGTTATAATTTGTGCTTCAACTCTGAAAACATAGATCTGGATTCTAAGGAAAACACTTAGGAACCACTGCTGCTAGTTAGCATCCCCTATGAATTACTGAGTGTGCACTCTGGTTAGAGCTAAAACAGCAGTGCTGGAGGAAGAATGACAGGCCAAGTTATCTTAAAGGGCAGCTTTGTCCTTCCACAGGGCAGCTCTGACCATGGGCACTTTTTGTGTGTGTATGTACTTGGCCTGGGGCTTGAACTCAGGGCCCTCATGCTATCCCTAAGCTTTTATGCTCAAAGCTAGTGCTCTACCACTTGAGATACAAGCTCCACTTAAAGCTTTTTGGTGATTAATTGGAGATAAGAGTCTCATAGACTTTCCTGCCCTGGCTGGCTTTGAACCGTTGACCCTCAGATCTCAGCCTCCTGAGTAGCTAAGATACAGGCATGAGTCATCAACTGGTGCATGGCCCCGTGGGTATTTTATTTTATTATTATTTTTTTAGGGGTAGGTTTATTCAGTAGACCTGCTGGGACCAGGCAAGGTTGGCACTCCATGTGGCTGGGAAAGGCCTGGGAACGAGAGAGAGCTGGGAAAGAGAGGAAAGAGAGAGGAAAGAGCTAGAAAAGAGCAGAGAGAGCAGAGAGAGAGAGAGCAGAGAGCGCTAGAAAAGAGCAGCAAGAGAGCCCCGTGGGTATTTTAAAAGCAAGCCTTGGGAGTAGTGGGAAAGATGAGGGGGGGACATTTTCAAGAGTCCCCAAATCCCAGTCTTCCGAATGTTAAATGTCAGTGACTAATTTAAAAATATTCAAGAAATGCATTTTCCCAAGTGGTCCGTGTTTGACATTCTACGTGAAAGGAAGAACCATGTGTAAGTGAGAATGTGGGAACCGACAGCAGATACCCCTAAAAGAACCTCTTCTTCTCACCATCATGAAAATGGATCACTACCTTGCTGGCTATCCCAGGAGCATGGACACCACCAGCGCCAGGACATCTCTGTGGCTCCTGGTTGGGCTCTCTGCACCAGCGTAAGCTGGGGCCTTTATTAATTATTTTCTCTCCCTCTTTTTCTCTGCAGAGGTCTGCGGGGCTCTCAATGTCACCGTGTCCCCAGGGCCCGTGGTGGACTACCTAGAAGGAGAAAATGCCACTCTGCTCTGCCATGTCTCCCAGAAGAGGCGCAAGGACAGCCTCCTGGCTGTGCGCTGGCTCTTTGCACGCTCTGACTCCCAAGAGACCTTGATGGTGAAGATGACCAAACTCCAGGTGGTGCAATATTATGGGAACTTTAGTCGCAGTGCCAATCGGCAGAGACTGCGCCTGCTGGAGGAGCGACGGGGGGCACTCTACCGGCTGTCTGTCCTGACCCTCCGGCCATCGGATCAAGGACAGTATGTCTGCAAAGTGCAGGAGATCAGCAAGTACAAGAACAAGTGGAAGGCCTGGTCTAATGGATCTTCAACAACAGAAATGAGAGGTGAGGGCCTGTCTGAAGAGGTCCATGTGACAGGGGACCCTGAGGTCAGGAGGAGGTCCATGGGGAGACCCTGTGTTGGTTCTGCTGGGCTGGACCGCATCTTGTGTGTCTCTATGACTGTGGCCATGTGAGTCGAGCTGTGGGGTGAGGGTACAGCTTTACTTGGACTCTAATGTTGACATAGGGTGTAGAGATGAAGCAAAGACAGAAAGAAGCAAATTTCTGTTCCAAGTTTAGCAACTCTACCTTTGAGATAAATCTCCCTTTATCTGACAGATTATATTACCAGTCAGCTTGCTGGGGTCCTTTTGCTCTACTTACTTAGGAATCATGAGTAAGTAAAGAGAAGCTCTTCCCATGCTGACAGTCCTGGTTTCTGAATGCCTAAAGCTTCAAGGCTCACAGCTCCAAACCCTGAGGGCTAGAGGCCTATCTATTGTTTTAGACTTTAGAAGCCAGAGGCTTATGGCTTTGGTTACTGAGGCTGGAGGCTTCATGCTCTGGTTTTTAAAACTTGGCAGCAGTGAGCAGTGGTAGAAGACAGCACGGGCAGTGCCTGCTGGTGTTGTAACTCTCCTACAGGACTTGGATACCAGTATTTGTAGTCAACCATGGTGAGTGTTAAAGCTTTCAGTCTAGAGTGTTTGAGAACTGGGCCCTTCAGCAGCTCCCTGGAACTCTGAGAGCAGCTAAGGACTGCAGTTCTCATCTTCAGTTTTGCACAACCCTCATTATCTACCACCTCTGATACCTATTATTTCTTTCATATGTAGTTACTCTCTGGAACTCCATATGCCCCAAGATGTCAGCTGTTAACATCTTGTCTTTCTTTATGTACCTAGCTAAACCCACTCTACTAATGATAAAAATTAAAAATAGGTAAGAAAAATGACTTTATAGAGACATTTATTAGATTTAAGTTGACCTGCATGGCTTGCTTATATAGACAGAAAGGGGGTGTAGCAATAGGGACACATGATTGGCCGGTACCAATCATGACAGTTGATGGACTGTGTTTTCACCAATCATGTAATAATCCTATATACAATGAAGAACGCTGCTTTCACCAATCTTAGCACACTTTCATGCAAATAGAGGATTGTTTGTTTGTACCCATCATAGTCCCTCAGGAGAGATAATGCTTGCACCAATCATAGCATTCTCTTATGCAAATTAAGGATTGTATTTTTATTAGTCTCAGGCCTTCTGTTAGACCACTAGGGGAAGTGGTTTCCCCCTGGTGTGGGTGGAAATGGCTTCAGGATCATCTAGAGTTCACCAAGGCTTTGGATGGCAAAAGTCTTCTGCAAGCTGTTTGAAATAGTCGCAGCTTTGTGCTTTAGGTTGCATCTAGCTTCCTCAAGGCACCCATGGAGTGTCCTTAGCAAGTGGAGCTGGCACCAGAGCAGTCCAGTTGGCTGCTTGTCTGTTGGTCCTTTGTTCAAGGCGGTCATGGAATCAAGAATGAGTTTAATGGCTGTCAATTAGCGAGTCAAATTGACCCGGATCCCAACATCTTAGCACATTGAAGGAAAAAGTAAACATTAAAAGAGACACCTATATAAAGGCTTATCATTAACATTAACAGTGTCTTAACAGTACTCAACAGTGCTCTAATACTGTTTACCTTCTGTCCCAGTGCCCCAGAAGGAAGTGGGTTCCTTTTTTTTTTATCTTTCTCAGTTGGACTACATGTGCTGTCAGATAAAGAAGGGGTCAGGACAGATTGTATTCAGTAGTAACGTTGTGATCCTGTGGAGTCCAGGATGAAATGAATGGAACTCTAACTTGCATGTACTTTGGGTACAGGGCATTTTTACAGGGAGAGGGAGAATTGGGATGAGGTGAGTGAAGGACTCAGAAGAGTCAAGGAAGCATAAAAATCACCAGAAAGTAATTGGGCTAAGCATTGGTGGCTCTCTGTAATCCTAGCTACTCAGGAGGCTGAGGCCTAAAGATCATGGTTCAAAGCCCAGGTGGGAAAGTCTGAGACTTATTTCCAATTAGCCAGCAAAAATGCCAGAAGTGGAGCTGTGGCTCAAGTCTTAAGCGGAAAAAGCTAAAGGACAGCACTCAGGCTCTGAGTTTAGACCCCAGCACACACACACACACGCGCGCGCGCGCACACACACACACACACGCACACGCACGCACACACACCCCACATGCACATATACACTCAAAGCAATGTGAAGGGGGAATGGTCTCTGGCTCAAATGGAATGTAATCCGGGTTTGTAACAAGCTTCTGGAAGTGGGACTCCTTCCTTCCTATATATGTGGGGTACAAGTTGTCTTCAGAAGGTGTTGGCTAGAAAAGATAGCTAATCTTTTGGTCATCCTGGGTTTGCTCAACTGGGCATAGTAAGAATTGTCCCAGGCATACTGTATGGGACTTTTAGAAACTGTTCATAGACCAAGATTGATCTAGCTAACCAAGGCTCAGAGGAGGCTGGCTGCAGTTTGGTTATGGAAAGAATCTTTGTCAGTGTCTAGCCTCGAACTCTAGAGTGTGCAGCCTTTATTTCTTTGGCTGGGGGTGGGGTGGGGTTTAGGGACACACCAAAGAGGCTTATCTTGGGAGGTCTTGATATGAGTCACCAGGCCTGCAAATGGTGACTCTGATCTGTTATTGCCCAGTGCAACTGAACCAAGCTGAGGTCACAGCTTGCTGAGACTTTCATCAAGAGGTATGTGAAGGCTCTGAAGCAGCTCTCCCTTCATGGAGGAAGAGGAGACTGAGCCCTACATTTCCAGAAGATCTTGGCTACCTACCATGTGCCAGATGGGAGGGTTACCACTATTTGGTCACCATGACTTATTTTATTTGTATTTCTCATGATTTCAGTAAGACTTTCTACTATGTACTTAAATTATATCTTTGTTGCTTCAAACTTGGGAGGGAGAAGGGTATGCCTTGTCTATTGCCCTGGCAAGACTAATGGGACTCCACAATCAGCTCAGAGAAACTCATTTCCAGAAGGATGGATTGACACTAGAGAAGGTAACTGTGTTGAGGAAATGAGCTATAGCCTGTCAGGGGGATAAGGTCTGTCTTTCCAGCTAGACAAGCTTTGTGTACTCCAGTGAAGATTTCACATTGGGAAATACAATCGGCTAGTGTTAGTTGGTGTTGTTTACCCCATCACTCAGCAGGCATATATCTTGGTCTGATTCATTGCTATAACAAAATGTCCAAGACTGGATAGTTTTTAAATAAAAAGAATTTAATATTCATAGCTGTGGATATTGTCCATCGAAAAGCCCAGTGCTTGTGCCTGATGAGGGCTTCTAGCTACATCATGTGCTTAGAAATATGATTTCTAAGGATCACTAGAGTCACAACAGAAGACACAGAAACAACAAATTATTTTGGCATGGTATAACTTACTTCTGTAGAAGGATGCCCTCCAACCAAACTCTGGCAATCAAGCACTTGGAACAAGCAGCCTTCTCCCTTTCTCCTTAACACAGGGACCTGACCCTCTGCTCAGATTACCCATGCTCACATTCACAATCTGCTTGTGATTAGCTAAAACGTTATATTGGCTCAGGGGAAGAACTAACCTCTGCATATTGGTGGAAAGTCTGGAAAGTGCAGGAAAGTTTACATTTGGCAAGCAAGTTTCACAGAGGGTGGAGAGGTTTATCATGAATTTTGAGGAAGAAATGGAGACTGAAAATAGTTGAGATAGAGACACACGAGATTGTTTTTCTCATAATATGGTAGAGGATGACACATGGCAAGTATGCTGGAGAGCTTACCTTGATGACAAATTCACCCTTGTGATAATGCACTCACTCATTAAGCGACCAATGGATTGATCTGTTTGGATTGATCTCTGTCCAGTCACCTGCTACCTGTAAACACTATGTTGGAAGTCAAGTTTCCAACTCATGAACATTTGGTGGACATGTTTAAACTTTAGTACATGGGACTGACCTTTCTTACTCTGGACCTACAGTAATGGATGCCTGGGAGCAGTGGATGGAGCCACCAATGAGAAGGTAGGCTTGTGAGCATGTAGGTGGAGCCACCAATGAGAGGGGAGGCCTGTGAACATGTGAGTGGAGCCACCAATGAGAAGAGAGACCTGTGAACATGTGGGTGGAGCCACTATGCTTCACCTACAGGACCACAAAAATGTACAGAAGGCCCATTAAGGACTGGAGGAGAGGACAGTGCTGGAGCTGAGACCTTTGGTTTATATGAGGTGACATAATATAGGGGGACATGCATGGTGGACCATGTTTGTACCAAACAGTAAGGATTTTCCACTTGACTTTGTTAGGCCAGTGTTCTCAACTTTGCATTGATTGGCGAAGGCAGACTCCCAAGCCACTGCCTTAGAGGATTCTAGTTTATTGGATCTGGGTTGGAGTCTGAATGAGTGACTTACAGTCCAGCTGATCACACTTCTAGACAGGGGAATCTTGGGGAGTCTGCTGGAGTGCCTTAGGCTGTGGAAAATACTGACCCACTTCGGATCTTTTGCTGTTGGCTGCTTAGGGTATGAAATTGGGGATGGCTAGACTAGAAAGAAAAGAGGGGAAGTCTTTCATTGCTGCACAGCTTGAAATGATGGGGAGTTAAACTTGGTGACAAGAATGGAGAGATAGTAAGAAATCAGGTGAGATGTACTTACAGATCTATTCGGTAGGGGTCAGGAAGAGAGCTTCAGCATAAACACAGGGCATGTTCAGTACCTGTGCCTGATGGGGCCCATGGCTGATAAAGGAATCGTGGCTGATAACGAGCCAGTCCATGGGGAGGTTTAGGGCTGAGAATAAGCATCATGAGATGGCTAAAGGCCATTGGGCCAGGGACATCCATTAGGCACAAATACCTGTGGGACTCAAGCTCTCTTGTGATGTTTTTAAATTTTAATTTATTTCTTTTTGAGATAGTCTTGCTTATGTAACCTGTGCTGGACTAGAACTCACTATTCCCCCATCTCAGTCTCCTGATGGGTGGGGTTACAAGCATATACTACCATGTCC